TTTAATTTAAAAAAAAATATCGGAAGATATTCTGATGAAAAAATTAGAATATAAATTCTTCTGTATACAACTCTAAGAATTTTGAATCTATAATTTTTGTTATTCATGCAACAAATGAAAATGATGTACTCAAACAACGTAACAAAAATCGGCTCGACAACCTCCATTAGTGCAGAAACTGATTCTTAGAAACAAATATCAATACTCAACAAATCCTTCCTTTATGTTCTATCGGACATTTTGAATTTTGAAAATCCGACCTCAGATTCGTAATCAGCGACTCGAAAACTGTTAGAATATTGAGTATCAGAATCATTTGTCTAATTTTTCATAATTTCGACAGACATATTGGGTCGGCCATTTTGAATTTTAAAAATCTGACCTCAGATTCGTAATCAGCGACTCGAAAACTGTTAGAATATTGAGTATCAGAATCATTTGTCTAATTTTTCATAATTTCGACAGACATATTGGGTCGGCCATTTTGAATTTTAAAAATCTGACCTCAGATTCGTAATCAGCGACTTGAAAACTGTTGGAATACTGAGTAGGGGAGAGTGGGGCAAAGGCGCTATTCGGGGCAAAGACGTTTTTTAAAATATCTCCTTTATTTTTTGTCTATTCCAATTGGTATTAAAAATTAAGTTGCAATGCAATCAGACCAATTGATTAAAAAAAGAAAAACCTAAAAATATCAAATATTTTAAGAAATATAACCAAAAAATTGTTTTGCAAAAATAAAATGATAATTTTACTGAACAAACTTTTATTTTTTAAAACATAAGTTTAAGTATTTAATTTTTAAAAACGTAACATGTAAATAAATTAAATATTTCTCTACACAACTGGCGTAGTGTTTTAGTTTAATTTTGTATCAAAATATTTTAAATTTAAAGTAAAAAATAAGTTTGTTATGTGGGGCAAAGGCAATATTGATTATAATTTGGTTAAAAACAATTGAAGATTCGAATTTTTTATGTATTAATTCACAATATAAGGTTAAAATCACTAAAAGTTTTTATTTTTTTAAAATAGTTTAATTCTTTTAATAATATGTTGTTAACCTTATGTTTCGTAAATATTATACTAATAAATATCACTTGTTAATTTTTTAAGGCTTATAAATGCTTTCTTTTAGAAATATAATCGAAAACGTCGCTGCCCCAGCGTGTGGGGCAAAGGCATTTTTTGAATTGTTTTCAAATTTCATTATATAATGTATTTATAATTACAATATACTAAATAACAAGTATTAAAATTTCTTCTTGATTAGTTTTAGAATAATGAAAAACAAAGACCGCATAAATTAATTGCTTAATTTAAAAAATATACATCGATAAATGTAAACCTAGCGCCTTTGCCTCACTCTCCCCTATCAGAATGATTTGACTAATTTTTCATAATTTCGACCGCCATATTGGATCGGCCATTTTGAATTTTGAAAATCTAACCTCAGATTCGTAATCAGCGGCGAAAATAACCTTGGAGCATAGACTTTCATGAAAATAATTCCTTTTAATATGCATTTATAAGGATTTTTGTCGATTGATCGTCCATATTGGATCGGCCATTTTGAATTTTGAAAGTTGCAATGCAGATTCTTAACGAGTATAGGCCGCAGTCCCAAAATATACCTTTAGCAACATTTCTAGAATTTATTTGTGCAAGTTGTTTCAGTTTCAATGTTCATAACTTTAAAAAAATACGAAAATAACCAAATTTAGGCACTTACAGCACAGACGCCATTTTGAATTTTGGAAATGCGGCAAGAGTTTCAAATTCTGTGATACTTGAAGCTTCATGCCACCAAAGTGCATTCATTTTCATTAAAAATTGACGTGGTTACAGAATTTCGACGCCTATTACTACATTTTGCCCCACTGTGCGTCTGCGAAACTCGACCGGTTCAAGGGTTCGCCACGGGCAATCGAATTCGGGTAGACGTTAAACTCAAAAATCGCGAAGTGTTTGGAATAGATAAGACTGAGAAGTTATAGTGAACACAAAATAAAGAAGTGGAATAATTTAAATCAATTCATTAAAAATAACCTAAAAATTGTTAATTACTCTCTCTCTCGCATATTATACAATTTTGGCAGCCCTTTCGTCACACTTTGAATTGCTCTAAATATATGTTAGTGATCATATAACAAACTCAAAGCAATAGATAGTCGAATTAAATAGCCACGTAAAGATTGAGAAATTAAGACGAGTAGAGACGAAAACAACGTGAGGTTAAAAATGAGTGTTTTAAATTGTCCCATTTAAATAAGCCGTTAATAGTGAAAAGTTCAAAATAGTAATGACTGAGAATTAACAAATGGACAACCCATTAACAAAATAATCAATCATCAAATTTGCCCGTTCTGACCAGAAGAAAGGTTAGTTTTAAATGACTCTCTCTCATTCTTCTTGTTTCAGTGCGGTAGGGATTAAGGTTACATAATATAAAGATAATTGTAAATAAAAATCAATTATGACTATTGCTAAATAAATATAATATCTTATTTGGTCTAAACAAGATGTTAAATTGTTCTCATCCCATAGTTCTTATCTGTAATCCCTAATGAAATTCCTAAAAGTCCTAAATTAACAATAGATTGAAAATTAAATTAATCGAGATATAAAGAGAAGAAGAATACACGATCCCATAAATAAAAACATTTAAATTCATTTTAAGTGGTTGTTGTGAACCGAAGATTAAGCTACAACATTTGTTTTATTAATTAAATAACGAAGGACCTTATTGAATAACCTATATATATATATATATATATATATATATATATATATATATATATATATATATATATATATAATAAACATTTTTTCACAACACTAAAACTTTCAGAAACCAGAAAAGATGTAACTCTCATCGGAGTCAAAAATGGACTAATCTTCAATTTATTTTATTTTAGTATAATCTTATTATGTTAAGGTAGTATTAGTATTTCATTTTAGCATGTAAAGAAAGCAGTAGCATGAAAACATCAACATCATCAACATTGCTACCCCGGAATACGAATAGATGAAAATGTTAGATAAGATAAGATTTTTAAAATTGCTCTAACACTACCAAAGTTATTGCAGGCATTATTAATCGCCTTACAAAAAATTTAAAGGAAATAAACAATCTACAAATGTAGAAAATACATTAATTGGATTTCTGAGAAAAGAAAAATTCATTTTTTTCGAAAAAGGTGTTAGAAAATTAAATTGTTAATAACTTTTTAAAAAACAATTTTTTAAAAAAACTATTTTTAAGTGTTGTTTTTATCATTATTTACTTTTAAAATATAGTGTTTGAAAGAAATTAAAATACCCTTCGAAAATCATCAGTACACTTCAGAAAGCCTTACCCACCTCAGGCACAAAATAGGCGCTTTCAGATAGCAGCCGAAAGAAACTAAAAGCTTTTTGTAGAAAGAATTTATTGCCCGAACGCCATAGATATTTTATGAAAAAATATTCAAACCGATTAATTAATTAAAATTACGCTAGCTCAATCTTTTCAAGGAGAGCGCGGGGTAAGAGAAATCACCATTTAGTTTAAATTTTGTCTTTAATAATAATCAAGAGAATTACCACGGTAAGTTGTAAACTGATTTAACCCAAAAGTCCTGGCATCTGGAATTTTCTTCTTAATTTCATTTCTGGAGTGTGAACACATAATTTTACAACAAAAATTAAAATAATCGCTGGAGCTGTTTTTAAGATCATCGATTTTTATTTAAAAAAACATAAATTCAAATTTGCTTAAAAAATTTCTATTTTAGAAAAAAGCTCTTTTTATAAAAGTTACAGATAATAAAAATAGGAATATTTCTTATTAAGGTCTTTTTCTAATACAATCAATACTTTCCGAGATATTCGAAGAAAACTGACATTTTTACACATTTACATTAAATATCGATGGGTGTTACGAAAAAAACTCTTAAAATTCTTTTGCAAGAAAACTAACACTCCTGATTTTTAAATGAAAAAATGAACTTTTAATTTTAAAAACTAATTTTATTATATTAAATTTTTAAATAAATATTACAACATACAAGAGGAAATTCGAAACAACTCTCTTATTTGTGCCGTAAACTTAAAGTCGAAACTGTATTTTTGGTTATATTTTCTTCAGGATTGTTTTTTTTCGTCCTGAATCTCGACTGTTTTTTTGTAACACTCATCGATATTATCAAACTTACACTGTGTATACAATATTTACACGTTACTATGTTCACGTTTATAAATAACAACCTGAAAGGTTGATTTTTTCTTGTAAAACAAGAAGTACAAATGTCTAAAAGTAGAGAGCTTTAACGCACGAATTTGATTAAAAAAAATGTAAAATGTAATTTTTTCCGATTATCTCGGAAACTATTCATTGTATTAGAAAAAAATCTGAATAAAAAATATTCCCTTCTTTATTATGTGTAACATTTAAAAGAAAAGTTTTTGTCTAAAATTAAAATTTTGTAAGCAAATTAAGAACTTTAAATATTGAACATGATGTTAATATAGAGAATTAAAACTTGCTGAATTTTATTATAAAGAAAAAAATTTTAGCAAATTTTATATCTACATTTTAAATCAGCAAACATTTTTCTTTTTTTATAAAGAGTACGTTGAAAATACGTTGAAATACTTTTCTTATTCTTAAAAAATACATTTTTTAGAAATTTTTTGTTTGAAATATACAAACGTTTTTTTTTCTTTATTATCACCACGTTGAGTATTAAAAGTCGTTCTGGTACAAAAGGTCCAATGCAAAAGATCCAAACCAAAAGATCCAAAAAATTAAAAATCCAAAAGGACAAAAAGTCCAAACAAAAAAAAATATTTTCTATTGTTTTTATTTTATTTTTTTTAATTTAAAAAGTGCAAAAAAATATATGTTCTATTGTTTTTATTTTGGTATGAAGTTGTTACAGAAGTAATCTGAATGTCATTAAATTTGTAGTCTGCATTTTTGAACATTACATATTCCAAATTTTTAGTTTATTTTTAAAATGGCTACTGCGAGTCAAAATTTAGAAGTTGAAGTAATAATGAAGAGAAGAGTTCGATATTTACATGTAAATGGTTTTTTATATACAAAACATTCAAGTGGCGTTGAAGGAAAAATTTATTTGCGATGTAGAAGTAAGGGTCAGTGCGGGGCAAGAGCAACTACAATTACTACCGGACATACATTGAATCTTGTTTCTGGAGGAGAAATGTTACAGGAAATGTACAACAATCCAAACGACGATAGTATTCGAGAAGCGTCACGAAGCATGTGCGCTTTGGCGTTTGTACGACCGGAAGATGTGCCTGCAGTTTTTGACTTGTTTTTGGATGAAGTACCGGAGGATTTTGTACCTATAGCGGAATACTTTGAGGTTAAAAATTAAATCTGAATTTTAAAAATTAAATTAAAGAAATATTTTATTTAATACATTGCAATTTTTCTTAAGGTGTGGTATATTCGTGGAAAACCTGCTAGAGGCAGAAGGAAAGCCGTTTCCGTTCGATATGCCCCTATATTATGGAATCATTATCAAGCTGTCAATCAAAGAATTGCAAGAACTAATAACGCGTCAGAGGGCTGGCATAACAGATTTCAAGTTGTTCTTGGTCGATATCATCCTAGTCTCTATGCTTTTCTAAATGAATTACAACAAGAACAGGGCGACACAGAATGCATGATTAATCAGCTCAATCTGGGTCAAAAAATACGAACACTACCTACAACGCACTTTCAAAAGATGGAGGTAAAAGTTATTAGTATTGTATCACAGTATCAAAATTACGTTGATGAAAATCGAGAAATAGATTACATTAAAGCGCTTGGACACCATTTGCATTTTTAAATAATTTTACATATTTTGGACAATTTGCAATTTTGGACTTTTTGTACTCTTGGATTTTTTGTACTTTGGATAAAAAAAATTTTTGGACCTTATAGATTGGACCTTTCGTCTTGGATCTTTCGGATTGGATCTTTTGTACCCCAATCATTAAAAGTACTGTCAAAAAACGTTTGAATTTTACAACAACACATTACTAAATATAAATAAAACAAATGTTTTCCTTCCTTTATAAAGAGTACGTTGAACTTTTAAACTGAATAAAGAACAACGCGAAATACATTTCACTTCTTAAAGAATAAATTGTTTTTAGCAAATTTTTATTTTGGAAAATTCAAACGTTTTTTTAACAGCACTTTAAATATTGAACATGATCCATTTAATATATATTACATTAGACATAAAATTTATATAACATACCGTAAACTGGGGCTATTAGGAACAGATTTCAACTTGAAAGTCTTGCAACTTTTTTGTGTATTAAAATATTGCCTTAATATTTTGTTTCTTTTCTTCATCTGGGCGAGCACCTTCGAGGGTTAAATAATTGCCTTGATCAAAGCTGGAATTTTAAGCAAAAAAGACGAAAAAGACGCATTTTTTCAAAATTACAAAATGGGGTTATTAGGAACAAAGCGGTAAAAACCATTGGAAAACGTATTTAAAGTTAAAGAAGTTATTTTTTACTGCTCGAAAGTAAACACTGAATGTAAAACAAAACTAAAAGAGCGAATGTGTGTTTTAAACGATGCTGGTATCATCAGTTGAGGTCGATGATGGAATCACTTGTCGTTTTTTGCGACTTGTCGGTACCAAAACTCTTTTACAATTTCGAACCATCTTTGAACACTAAAAACCAAATTAGGTGATAAAAAATAAAAGAAATTACAAAAAACTTACGTTTTGACAACACACTTTAAAAATTCGGAAGAAATAATTGTGTGCCTTATATACCCGCCGTTTGTGAATTTTGGTTTTTGTTTCTAAAATCTTACTGTAAATACAAAATAAACATATTTATTACTTAGTGAACTCAATAAAGTTTTCCTTAAGAAATCCTATTAATAAGAAACAATCACTTTGAGAAGTTAAAAATGAAACAACTTACCTCAGCAATCAAATGTTTTCCACGTTTGAAACTTCACTAAAACACATTAAGTCACTTACAAGCTACTATAAGTAGTTTACAAAATAATTAATAATCACAATTATTGCATTGAAAAGTGTTGCCAGTTACCGCAGCAACAATTTTTCAAAAGCAAGTAACACAGTTTATCGATAAATGGAGCCGATAGCATCAACTCCACCCGAAAACAGAATTTTGTTCCTAACAGCCCCGGAGTTCCTAATAGCCCCAGTTTACGACATATGTCATTTAACATAGAATTAATTTAACATATATTTTATTTGCTATAAAAATCATTTAGCAATAATTTCCATTTAACGTAAAAATACAATTGACTTGAATTTTATTTCACATAAAAATCACTTGACATAAGTTTTATTTAAAAGAAAATTAATTTGAGGTAAAATTTGTTAAACATTCACGTCATTTGACATAATATACATTTAATAAATTTTATTTTGTCCTAAAATTCATTTGTCATAAATTTCATTGGACATAAATTTCACTTGACATAAATTTCATTTGATATAAATGTCATTTAACCCTTTAACGCCCAAATGTGCTGTTTTCAGACTTGAATTTTAACTACGTACAACTATTAAAAGAAAGCTAAAAAAATTCCAAAAGTACTATTTCCTACTATTTTCGGGGTCGCTTTTTCGAATGGCGTTGTCAAAATTTCCAAAAAATAAAATTAACCCCCTCTTTTAATGACATTTTCCAAAAAATGCAAGATTTTTGGATGAATTTTTTTTTATTGCAATTTTCATTGTTATATCGGTATCTACATATCGTCTAAGGTATAAAAACCGTATTCGCTAATTACGAATCTGATGTTAGTTTTGAAAAATTCAAAATAGCGGATTCAATATGGCGGACGATTTTTTTTTAAATTTACCAAATTCGCCTAAAACTTGTTATTCGGAGGTTTTCAGGGTCTCTGATTACGAATATGATGTTAGTTTTTAAAAATCTAAAATAGCGGATCCAAAATGGCGACCAAAAAAATAAAAATTATTCAGTTTGGCTTAAAATTGGTACTCGGGGGTTTTTGGGGTTGCTGATTACGAATATGATGTTAGTTTTTAAAAATCGAAAATGGCGGATCCAAAATGGCGACCGAAAAAATAAAAACCATTCTGATTGGCTTAAGAATTGGTACCGTTTTGGTACCCATTTATGTTCAAATAAATAAATAAATAAAACACAATTATATTTTACACAAAAGTATCGGCGCGAATTAAAAAGTTGATTTCGCGCCTATATTTTCATGTCAAATGATCTTTATGTTAAATAAAAACTATGACAACTTAATTTTATGTTAAATGAGAATTATGTGTAATGACTTATTCGTCAAATGAAATTTATATCAAGTGAACTTTATATAAAATGAGAATTATGTTAACTGGGATATATACCAAATGAAATTTATGTCAAGTTAATTTTATGTCAAATGAGAATTATGTTAAATGGCATTTATGCCAAATGAAATTTATATCAATTTAATTTTATGTTAAATAATAATTATGTTAAATGATATTCACGTCAAATTAAATTTATGTCAAGCGAATTTTATGTCTAATGATATTCATGTCAAATAGATTTTGTGACAAATGAGAATGACGTTTATGACAAATGGAATTAATGTCAAATGAATTTTATAACAATTAAAATTTACGTTAAATGAATCTTATGGCAAAGAAATTTATGTTAAACGATTTTGATGTCATAAGAAATTTATGTTACATATTTTTTATGTCAAATGGGAATTAAGTTATCTGAGTTTTATGTAACATAATATTTCTGTTAAATGAATTCATTGACAAATGATATTTAGGATGTTAAATGGTTCTTGTGTGCAATGAAATTCATGACAAATAATGTTCATATTATGTGAATTTTAAGTTAAGTAGTTTTATATCAAATAACTTTTTGGCCAAAAAAGATTTCGGGAATAAGCATGCGCCTCATAAAGAGTACGTTGAACTTTTCAACTGAATTTTCGTATAAGAAACTTTAGAAAATTGTAGTACATAAAAAAAATTTCCTTGAACAGTGTTTAATTTAAAAAATAAAGCTTAAAAAAATTTATAAAAAAACATTCAGTTAAGTAAGATAATGTCACAAATATGTTTACAACATTTTAAGCATATAAAAAGACATTCTAAAAACGTTTTTGGAACGTTTTTAAAACAAGGATGGTTTTTTGCCCACTGGGGTTTTCTGGTGAAATTTTTCTTCTTTTTGTATCAGTCGGAATCTTGGAATGGTGAGCAATTCTTCTTTTTTTTAAACATGGATCCTGATTCTCGTTAGGATCAAGTAGAATGTTTTGACTTTTTTGATGGTGAAGCTGGTAGTTGTAAATTTTTTGAGGTGGAAGGTTTCGGTAAAATAGAAGTAAAAGCCAACGCTGCATTTCTCAATCCATTAATTATCATTACATGAATTATTTACTGATAATTTTGGTGAAGCCGTTTTTTTAAATTTTTCGACGTAGAATGTTTTGACTTTTTTTTTTATTAAAAATGGTTACTCGGGGGGTTTTAGGGTCGCTGATTATGAATCTGATGTTACTTTTTTAAAATTCAAAATGGCGGATCTAATATGCCGTTAACTTTTTTAAAAACTGATTGTATTGGCTTTAAATTGACCATTCGGGGGTTTTTGGGGATGCTGATTACGAATCGGTTATCACTTCTTTAAAATTCGAAATAGCGGATCCAATATGGCTGAGAATTTTTTAAAAAGTGATTAGATTCGCTTGAAAATAGTTACTCGGGGGTTTTTGGGGATGTTAATTACGAATCTGACTTCAGAACAATATTATGTTTATCCTCCACGTCCGTTAGCCGTCAACAAAATTTTAATGACGTCGCCCAGCTCTTATTACAAGAAGGCCGACGTGCAAAAAAGCTACTTTTTTTATTTTATTTAAAAAATTTTTTTTGTTTTATTTTATTTATAAATTTTTTTTTGATATTTTTTTAAATGAATAATATAAAATTTTAATTCTGCTTTCTAAATCTGAATCAACGATAACACAGGCCTACAAATTTCAGACCTAGAAACGGAATAAGTCATTTCCGATGTAGTTTGTCACCCTGAATCCAAAACTGGCAGCAAAATTGCTCTATCACGTCAGGATTCTGAGATATTCTAACCTAAATGAGTAAAAAAGGCCATTTTTGGCAACATTCGACTCTCAATAAAATCTACAAAAAATTTTTTTTATCATTGGAACAAATTTTAAAAGAAAGTACAATTATTCACCTTTCAAAATATTCTACACCCGATCCGATCTGACTTTTTTTCACTAAGATACAACAATTTAAAGTTTAGGTTACACGACCTAAAAACTGAAAAAAGGAAAAAAAGAATAATTGGAAAGTACTTTAACTTAAGCATCTGATTCTTAATATTTTGGGATTGTTGATTAGAAAACCGATGTCGGATTTTCAAAATTCAAAATATCGGATGCAATATGGCATATGTCAAAATAAAAAATTGATCGGATTCGCTTGAAACTTTTTACTCTGGGGTTTTTGAGGTCGCTAATTACGAATCCGATGTCAGATTTTCGAAATTCAAAATGGCGGATGTAATATGGCGACATTTTTAAAAAATTTAACGGATTCGCTTAAAACTCTTCACTCGGGTGTTTTTGAGGTCGCTTATTAAGAATCTGGTGTCACATTTTCGAAATTTAAAATTATTGTGGATCTAATATGGTATTATATGTTAGTAAAATCGAAGAACGTAAAATTCGAACATTTAGGGCATAATTTATACACTCTTTTAGTAAAGAAAATTAAAAGTTTTATTTTTCTTTATGAACTTTTACACATTTTTCTACAAAGGATCTTCGTATAGTTGG